TTTTCTATGACACCTTCCACCGAGACAGAGCAGTGAGGCAGCTCCTGCTAACAGCGTTCCAGTACCTGAGAATGAGACCAGTGTCAGGTTGAGTCAAGGCGAGGGCTGAACCCTGCTTCCATCTTCCTTAGTTAAGGGAAATGAGTCAGGTATGGTTGTCAGAGAAATGTCAGATGAGATGATCGGGATCCTGGACAAGGTTAACTGAAGGTTATGCAAATGTTAGGGTAGCGTTCAGAAGACATGAGACGGGATGCTTGGATTCTTCTAGACTGATCGCTGAGAACACGATTTACATTTATGGGCTTTCCCAGCACACATTCATATTGCGATATTAGACATTATGCGATCTTATTGCTATATCCGTGGCAAAAATCCTAAGCTAATAATAAAAATACATCTAATATTCGTTTAGTTAAATGAGCACAATGGTCAAAGGGAACGGTCCCCATGGAAGCTCTTAAGATGTGACAATCTAATCAAAAGGGAGCCACTGGCGCTGAGGATTACAGAGCGAAGAAATAATATCTCCTTTTAAGCCAGTGCAGCGATAGCACACTTTTTCTCTGACAGCCCTCGTTTCTTGTGAAATAGCTCTTGGATAAATTAGCTGAGCAGCTTCTTCTGAAGTCGACCGGAAAAGGGGAGGAAAAAAAAAAAGCATGTCGCTGAGGGCATCTGTTTCAACACAGCCCCAGACCCAGGAGAGTTAGGAGGGATTCAAATTAACTTGATTTACTCCAATGAGAGTGTCCTTGAAACGGCTTCAAGTGGGCCGCAGGTATCCCTCCAGCACATCATCTTCATCTGTGACTGGACTCGGCTGAACAATGGCTCAGTCCGACACTTCATCTCAAAGTTCTCCACTTAAACCCCAGAGAGGTTTGCAGGATACGCTCTGCTCTCGGCCTTTCACATCCTTTCCCAGCAGGTAGCTCAAAGTGCGCTCTTAAAAGAGCCTTCTAACGATTTTACAGCACGGCGTTGGGTGCCACCCTTTGGATTAACTCCTGCTTTACTTATGTTTCTCATCTCTGCGCTCGGCACCTTAAAACATGTAAAGATTCACCCGACGTCCACCGGGAATTCTGTAGCTTTGCAGTGTCACGCTTCATTTCGTTTCCAAATTTTTGCTGTAAACTCCAAGAAAAGACACGAGGGAGGAAAAAAAAGATGAGAAAATTGAATACTGAACATTCATTAGGGGCCAAGTGTGTGTTCTCTGAGATCCTCGGCTAGTCACTTTGAGAATATTCAGCTCATAAAAAGAATCGCTGTGGTGATACTGGCAAGGGGTGAGATGGGGTGAGATGAGGGGGGGCTCTTCTCATGTCCAAATGGCTGTCATCTCTGCAGGCTGCATTTAATTGGACCCTCGTTCAGCTTCTTCCAGGTTTGTCCTCTGTTTGATTGTTAAGAAGGTCTTGGCAACAACGTGCATGCTTGAAAGCCAGCGGGTTGCAGCTCATTCATGCACTTGTGCTTTACTTCAATTCACCCATTGACAGGCACACACTCTATGCTCCAATCCATACATGCAATGCAACAATCTAGTGCAGTTCCTCCTGACAGGCCGATCTTAAGTCCATCAAAATTCGACTGCCACAGTGAAATGACAGAGACCCCGACGAAACAAAACACCGTGACTGAGGAAGGAGAAGGAGACCGCTGCGATAGCTGATGCAATCAGAAATAAGAGGTACAAAAGAGGCTCGAAGGTTATCTGCAGCCCTCGTTCAGCTCCACACCCCAATTAACCCTAATTACTGCCACCGTTTTCAGACAAATGAAAGTTAATAGGATCTGAAACTTTTGTCATCATGGGAAAATTGTCTTTGGGTATTGACAGCAATTCCAAGCTTAACAAGAAAGTCATTAGCGGGGCTGTTTGGCTACTTCTTCTCATCTGCCCACACAGGACGAAGGACTTGCCTATAACCCCGCCAGGCTGTTGACACACCTGATCGGGGCGCTTCTCACGGGGAGGATGCTTGAACTTGAGCAGGCAGGTGTGGTCAACAATGGAGACCCCGTGGACCCGATCGACACTGATGTGTGACAAAGGCTGGTGTATGTGTGTGCACGCACACGAGACAGTGGGTTGAATTTACAGCACAAAATTCATTTAAATGTTGCAAACTGTTTGAGACCATCATAGCTATCTGCAAGATTTACAAATGGATCCTTCTATGAAAAACATGTCCTTAAAAGCCTTTGAGGAACAAGAAATATGAGTGTCAATGATGAATATGGTCTTATTACACTGCAGTGTTGCAGTCTTTGACAACAGCAGGTGGATGAGTGTCTCTAATTTTTCTAATTCAGGCCTGAAAAGTTCTGAAAGCTTCAGTTTATTATTGTAAAGTAATTAGTAACAATGTGTTTATTTAAAAGTCTCAATTAAAGCAACCATTAACCACATTTTGATGTTTAGGTGTAATGGTCATTACTTGTGTCCTTAATGATGCAAATATTCGTTTAAGACATGAAGAGAAGCAAAATCCACAATCTGTCTGTCATGCAAAGATGCAGCTGATGTCGCATCACCAAGAAAACAAAAGCAAGCAGCTTCCAAAGTTTAATTTCACTTTTTGTGGAAGGTGTTGCTTTAAAAACAGACTCAATCAAACAGTGACATATCCTCCACATTTCCTGTGCAGCTGGACGGGAACAGAGCAAAGGAAAAGTAGTTGGAGGTTAGTGGAGTGCGAGTTACTGAAGAGGGACTGATGATTGTTGTGTAACAGTCACATGACACGTGCATGCACACCCACGCGCTCTCACACACACACGATTTACCCTCTCATAAAAAGCTTATGCATCAATGACAAAATAATCCTAATTGCTTCTCAGCTATCTGAAGTGGTGGTGGGTTGCAACTGTCCCCTGCATGCCTGATGGAGAGATGCGAGCCACTTGTGAAACTGCGAGCCACGCGATGTGAAGCCGAGCCAATTTCTGCCTTCTTGTGACAAGAAGAGAGGGGTGCTTAGGGTTGATCGTGGCACTGATGCGGTGCAGGTGAGACGCTCGGCTCCCGCCGAGGCCACTCGTACTGAAAATGCACTCGGGGTGAGATGCTCTTGATAAAAAGCACTGAGTGAAAGGCGCAGTTGTAAAGCATGTGGTTAAAAAAGGATGATGCGCTGCAAGCTGGCCGAATGGTTGCGGGGTTGACCGGCAGAGCTCCAAACAGTCTGAATGCGCCTCTTTCCCTCTGAACACATTTTGGTCTGTTTGAGCATTTAAAACACATCCTGTTCTTTTGCCGTATCGATTAATCTCAGCTTATTTATCAAATGCTAGTGAGGGACAGAAGAGGAGGCCATGCTAGACTGTTGGTTGTTCGGCCAAAACAACCATCTCTGGGTAAGTGGGATCAAGCCTGTGTTACAGCTGTGAGGGTGGTGGAGGCAGCGGAAAGCAGTGAGTAGGGACAGTGCTGGAAGATGGTGGGGAAAGGGAGGGGGGGCGGGGGTTTAGCAGAACTAAACCAAGCAGAGACCTGCATCGAGGGGCGAAGAGACGGAGGAGGAGGAGGAGGAAGCGGCAGCGACAGCAGCAGGAGTGGAGCCATGGGTAGAGGTTGGTCCAGCAGCAAATGGGAAGCTTTTTTTACACAGACATATATAGACACAAGAAATAGGGAGAGACACACCAACGCGTGCTTAGAGGAAACCTACAGCGAGCATACGGACACACTGGGCTCGATGGAGCTTTGTTAGTTATTTCATCGCGTTATCACAAACTGAGTTAAGAAAAAACACGAGCGGCAACAGCAGGATAGTCAAAAGCTAAGCTGGCTCTTCAACCATACACAAACCCTTAATACTTTTTTAACAGCTGAGGTTTTTATACAGTAGGTGCAAAGTGATAGCCTGTTAAAATATGCGCAAGAGTTATGAATCATGTAAAGTGAGGCCCCAGGAAATAAGGAGCTCTCTCTCGTAAGGTCATTTGCTGCACAGGCTCATCTGGGGTCTAATTGAATTAAGCAGGCCTCGAGGGGCCCCGGGCTAACCTGAGCGCTAATCTGTGGGCCATTATTTCCTGTTAACAGCACACTCCCTCTCTCCCACTGCCGACCCAGCTCCCTCCCTGTCTGCCAGCCCAAAGCATATGTGATTTAAAAGTTCACTCATTACAAACCCAAGCTGCTGTCTCCTGCGGGGATCAACCTTAAAAAACAGAATGAGGCTTGTTTGTTTTTATCAGGGTCTCCTAATGAAGATGATGTCTTTAAGGCTCTGCGGAGGCGAGAGAGGAAATGTTTTCTGACAGAGGTATAACGATGATAGGGCTGGAAATTCTTCTCTGTCTGTGTCTTTAATCAGTTTTGTTTCAGTGGGTTTTTGTCAGAGTTGTAAGTTTATTAATAGGTGCTTTAACAAGTTTCCAGCTACACCTAAATGTTGGAGGAAGACACTGAAATAAGTATCTTTGTTCAGAAGCCCAGTGGAGAGATGTGCAGAGCAAATCATGTCTAATTCCTTTAATTTGTTGCGATACCATTATGGCTAAACTATTGCTGGTAATTAACTGTAATAATAATGAATTCGAGACCCATTTCTAAATATGCCTCCTGGACCAATCCATTACCATTTTTTTAAACAGTTGAATTCAATTTTCTTTGCAGGAGTTAATCTCAACATTGTGCACGAGGATACCTATGACATCTGAACAGATCTTATACAGTATGGAGGATGGATAATTAGCTCTATGGCAGCGGGAAGCTAGAAGAGTCGTTCAAAAATACAGCTGAAATGCTCGGCTGTCCATCTCACCTGGTGTCATCCCACTCCGGGCTGAGTCCGGTCAAAGAACCGCGAGACTCGGAGACAAACTTGTAGACGACCAACAGGCAGTCTCGGCACAGCTGGACCAGCCTGCGACAGCACTGCAGCTCCTGGGGCGACACCACCTCGCTGCTCTTGCTGAAGATGGTCTCCCAAGACGAACTGCAGAACACATATATATATATATTTAAATTCTTCTTTTTTGCTTTAACTCATCATTATGAAGTCAATGTTGCTTGCACAATGTAATGACAGCGCTGTTGTTAAATTAGTTCCCTATAAGTCTTTGTCGAGACGATTCGGTCTCCCTCCAGGCACAAAATTACCAGCTGGATGTCAATGGCATCTAAAAAGTATCATTTAATGTACAGTGTTTAGTGTATGCATGATAACCACATACGCGTGCGTGCACAGCGCAGACATGCAGGAAGACAGACACACTGAGGGGGGATAAAACAAATCCTGGTACAGTTAACCCCCTTTACATCCCCGGACATACCCCTGACTGTGAGAGAGCCTCAGCAACTGAGAAACACAACCCCGGGGGGTACTTTTGATGTCTACCCCGTTTCACTTCTTGGGAGGTGGGGGGTGGCTCCTCTGAAAGGGTTCAAAACAGTGTGCGTTTCCATTCTCTTCCTCAAAGTCGTTTTCAAAGCCTGTTGAATTCATCAGCAACAATAGCTGCGAGGCTGTTTGATTGTTGTTAAGTCCCTCAGATAAAATATCAAACAACAGACAGAGAGGAGGTTGCGGGGGGAGCGCTTCCCCTTGGATTTGGCGTGTGCTATCCGAGGTGCGCCGCTTCGCTGTCTCCATGTGATATCAGGGCCCCCTGTTGGGTTCATCCATGTTGGGGCCGTGGCCCGCTGTAGGGAGGGGCCAGACAATAGGCTAGCAAGCTAGCTGGATGATCCTGGGCAGGCTGTGATCAGACAAAAGCTGGACGGGGTGCAGCATGATGGGGGCGGCTGAGGCTAGGGTTGGCTAATCCTCATGAGCCTCATGAGCCAATACCCCTTCTGCCCAATCTCTCTGCTCTCTTTTTACCGTCTCCTTCTCGCTCGGTCGCTCCTCCACTTTTTCTCTAGCCGCACTTTCACCAGGGAGTAGCACTTTTTGAAGGAATTCAACATGTCTCAACCACAGGGAACCAGGTCTAAATTAAGTTCTGGGGTAATTAGCTTAGCCCCCTAAAAGCCCTGGGAAGGTAGTATTTTCTGAAAGTTCAGGTCCTCTGGGGTTGGAGCTTGAAGCGATAAAAAATGTTTGATTGGTCGAGCACTGTGAGCGTTTTAGCCGGCCTGAGACTGACTGCGCGATCACACAGTAAAATAAATAAAATAAATAAAATGTTTGCTTGCTTACAGAAATACAGCAGGAATTATCGGTTACTGTCTGTAAACACCACGTTCAGACTGGGAGAGACGCATGAGAAGAAGCGAGAGCAGAAGTGGTCGAGTGAATGAAGAGGCTACGTGTTCCAGAATCATTACTACCACATTATTTAGTACACCAGGAAGACTTTTAGTGGATCCCCGTATACAGGACTTTGTAAGGAAAGCTGCAATCAGCAGTGGAAGTCAAAAGAAAAAGGATTCGATTTTAAACTGAAGGAGGGAGCAGAGTTATTGACTGTGGCAACATTTTAACGCACAAACAAACACACTCAGGCCTCCACACCTCTGCACCACGCTGCGGGGAAGATGTAGCAGATTTTGTGTGAATGGTC